TCTCTGGCCTCAGTTTACCCTCAGGGACATGGATGATCCGATTGGCTAAACCGTAAGCTGTGTGCAGAGCGTTCTGTGGAGAACCGAGGGCCTGGCCGCTCTCCTAACACAGCAAAGCATACTTTTTCCTGGGCTCAGAGCAGTTCCCTGGTCGGGGCAGAGGGGCCCTGGGCCTGCACTGCTGTGCAGCGTCCTGGGTAGCGAGGACTTTGGGGACAGAACAGGCAAAGCCCTGGCTCCCGGGCAGCTTAGTTCTCCAGCACAGCACCCGGCGTCGAAGGCTGCTTCACGACCTGGAACTTCTTCTAGCAGAAGGGAACGGAACACAGTAAGAGTTGATGTTTAAGTATTTTGTCCCAGAAAGGCACCTGTACATTTAGTAGGGACCTAAATGACAAGAATGGACCAGAGAGCATCTGGTGGAAAGGTTCTCAGCTGGAGGATGGGCAGCTGTGCAAAGGCCCTGCGCCAGGGAGGTGCTGGTGTCTGTGGGCAGCGTGGGTCAGGGCTGTGGCCCATGTGCAGCCCGGGGGCTTCCCGGGGACCTCAGTTCTCCACGGGATATGGCGACATCCTGCAGCCTAGAACTGGAACTACAGGTCTGATTTAGTTTCCCAAAACTTCTACATCTGATGGGAAAGCAGACCCCAACAGGCTGGAAGATGATGCCGTGGGGACCCAACTCTGGCAGGTGAGCAGCGGAGCAGGAGTGCGTTTCCACAGCAACAGCGTGGCTCAGGCCCCTGGGAAGTGGCGAGACCAGGCACCCACAGGGTCTTCAGATGCCCTCGCTGGCCGTGGGCCGGGGGACACAGCCACTCCCAACCTTGCATCCTTTGAACCCCGAGTATCCGGGCAGACACCTGCTTCCTCTGACGGGCGCAGGGCTGAGGCTGGTTGGCCGGTCAGCTGCGGGCACTGTGGGTACGGGAGTCCAGCCTGGCCACGGGGTGGGTGACGAGGGTCGCCCTGAGAACTCACAGAGCTCCGGGGCTGAGCTGGGCACACCGAACACCTCTGATGGACCTCGATGTTTAAGCACAGATTTCTCACAGCGGCTGCTCTGGGAGCTATTTCCAAAGTCCGGTCCAGGAATGGCAAATGGCAGGAAGAACCAGAGCCAAGGAGAAACCCCCAGGGCTCCATCATGCCAGCTCCCAGGTTATGTGTGACCAGACACGGTGGCTGCCGACAGCACCAGGAAAGGCCGGTTCTGATGAGCTGCCCTCCGTCGTCAGACTTTTCCTTTCCAAATTATTTAGCCTCGTGGGAGCTGCTTTACTTTTGTTTTGAGACACGGTCTCACTATGAAGTTCAGGCTGGCCTTGAACTGGTGACCCTCCTGCCTCAGCCTCCCGAGTGCTTGGATTACAGGCGTGCAAAAGTTAATCTGACGAAGGGAAACATTGCCCTCTGTGTGTGTGGCTGCAGTGAGGGGCTGCAAAAGTCACTTGTTTAGCCGGGCGTGGTGGCTCACACCTGTAATCCCAGCACTCAGGAGGCTGAGGCAGGAGGATCGTTGTGAGTTCGAGACTGGCCTGGGCTACAAAGTGAGCTCAAGGCCTGCCTGACTGCATAAAAAAGAGACAAAAAAAAAAAAAGTCACTTGTTTGGGGACAGGAGAGCAGGTGCTGTGCTGCCACCTCCCTGACACTAGGGGGCACTGCAGGCCTGCAGATGTGGGGAGCCAGATCAGTCCAGTGCTGTGTGTCCAGAACTCCAGGTCCTCCAGGCACTCTGTGGGGAGCGGGGGGCAAGCAGGGGCACTGCATCTCCTAGGACCCTCCTCGGCCCTCTGAGCCATTCAGATAATAATGGTGTTGATGTCGTGGTGCATACTTGGTCATTTTAAATCATACTTCCTGTCCCCCAAGGGTGACAGTGCCCTCTTGGCGGTGTTTATGAATTCTGTCCTGTTACCCCACCAGTCCCTAAGTCTGACGTCTCTCACGTGATGAGCAGGGAAGTTTAGCAGCCTCCATGGGGGTGATCACGCCACGTCCATCCTGCAGCCGTCAGCTGGGACACTGAGCACCCGCAGACTGGAGGCAGAGGCAGGCGGGTGTCAAACCAGTAGGGATGACCCTGGTGCGGGTGTTAATGCCCGTGTGGCCGTGGGGGCTGAATTCCGTCGTGCATGAGCGGATCTGCAGTAGGAGGGGAGGGTCCTTCCACCACCGAGTCTCATGCAGAGAGGGAGAGAGAGAGAGAGAGAGAGAGAAAGGGAGAGAGGAGGGGGGGGGAGAGGACAGTTTATTATTTACTCGCTGAGCTTGGAGTGCTTTACACAGAGAAGACAGCGCCTCCAGGGGCCAAGCGCCCCAGCCCTATTATTTCCATCTATTTGTTCCCCAGAGCAAACTTTAATAACTTCTAAACTGGGCCACTGACAGCACCCTGCAAATCCGGCTTCACGGCCGTCACACGACACAGCCTCTCTCTTCCCTTTGATGCCAGCGAATGCAGAAGGGCTGCGGGGCCCTCCCTGGGCAGCCTGGGGCTCCTCCGGGTGGGATCCAGGCAGGGAGCGGGCAGTGACGCCGATGGGCCCGCACCTGACGGGACTCGGCAGCAACAAAGACTTCAGTCGCCCAGGAGGGGCCTTTCAGGTCCCAAGTGAGCCTGACCTTTAAGGGAAGCAGCCAGGCTGGGGCCGCGGCCTGCGACGTGCGTGTCCTTCGCCCATGCCAAACGCTGGACTCCCACGGGATCCCGACTCAGGCACAGAAATGCTGGGGTTCTTGCGGCTCTGGGTCCAGGGCCCCCTTCTCCCTCCTGACCCCACGTGCTGGTGGAGCATCGATCCCTGCATGGAGACACCTCATGCAGGCAGGCGCCTCTTTCCCCTGCCCGGACTGCGCCACCTTTCGGTGGGAAGTGGGTTGCACTTTACTTTACCCCGTTCCCTTCCTTGAGCTGTGCTGCACACGTGTAATCCCAGCCTTCAGGAGGCTGAGGCAGGAGGATCCCCTAAGTGAGTTTGAAGCCAGGCTGGGCTACGCAGTGAATTCAAGGCCAGCCTCAACTGCATAGTGAGACTCTATCTCAAAAAAAAAAAAAAAAAAAGAAAAGAGAAAGAAAGAAAGAAAAGAAAGACAAATCCAAAATATCACTAAAGTAAGGGGCGAGCAAGAAAGCACAAGACACTCCCTGTTGGAGTCCAGGAGGCAGGCAGCCGGCAGCCGGCACCATCCAGGTGGGAGGACTCGCCCTCACCCTCTGTTTAAACGCAGGAAGCCTGACAAGGTTCGCAGGTCGCCCTGCCTGGCACAGCCTCGCTGGCACCCAGTACTCCATCCTGTGGAGCCTGCATGCGGCTGGCAGGGCCAGCGACCCTCCTGGCAAACAGCAACAGACAGGCCGCGCCTGGGCCGCGCCGCACAGCACGCACAATTAATGCTGTTTAATTAGCGACAGAATCAGGCTCACAGGCTGATTTATGGCCCTGCAGAAGCAACGCGTATTCCTGGAGGGAAGCATTAACCGAGAGGAACCAGGCCGAGGGTTCTGACGGGAAGGTGTCCCAGAGACTGCAGCTGGTGTCCACAGGCCTAGGGACCGCTCTCCCCACAGTGACCTCTGCTTCCCAGAAAAGCTTCCTCAGCTCGGAGCCCACAGATTTCTGCCTCACCAGCTGCACAGCCAGACTCCGAGGTCACCCGGTAGCTTCAGGACACAGCGAGCCCGGTGCGGTGACACTCAGGGAAAGGACCTGATGACGGCCCTTTCTGAGCAAACGCTCAGGTCTGCTTAGGAAAACAGAAGATGACGGTTTTCATGAAGAACAGTGACATTAACTTGTGTTCGACACAGCTGAGAGCTGCCGGAAGCAGAGACAGTCCCGGTCAGGAGGGAGGCCCTGGCTAGAGGTGACCGAGCGGCACACAGCGGCTCTGCTGCTCAGCGGCCTGGGGACAGGGGTGAGGTGCAGGAAGCAAAACCCCAGCATTCTCAATCAGGGACAAAGGGTCGGCTGTCCCCGCCACCGTGCATGACACCAGTGGCCACAGTCCCCTGCCCTGGTGGTGCCAGCTCAGGGGACTGGCCGGCGGGGATGGGTTTCACTCACTGTCCAGGCCACACACTGGACAGGACAGTGTCCAGGGTCCCCAGTGCATCTCTGTTCTCACTTTAGATTTTTACAAGACACAGCATCATCAGAAAGAAAAAAGAGGGTAAGCTCAATAACGAGCCAAAAAGACAGACAGACAGACAGACAGACAGACAGACACTCAGAAGACTCTGGAGACAGGAGCCCTGGAAAGAGGGCTTCAAAAAGCACCCCCACCCCCCGCCCGACTGTGGCCTCCACCAGTTGTGCCCTGGGACCCGGGCACACAGTGTCACACCCGGCCCCCAACCACAGCAGCCAGGTGACGGTGCCTGCTTCTGCCCACCCAGGGGGCAGAACCAGCGCCGTTGGTTTAAGCAGTCTGTGAAGGTGCAGGACACGGTCCCCTGCCTCGCTCTGACTGTCCCTGCGGCCCATCCCGAGGCACCTGGGGAGGGTGGCCCTGCGCTTAGAGGCTGGGTTCCGTGTCCTCCAGGGTCCAGGGAAGGAGCTAGCCAGGGTCTGTATGACCTTCTCAGGGCAGTGCCCTCTGCCAGCTGGTTGGTCCGGTCTCCATGGCACACTTGGGGCGTTAGGACGGAGATCTTCGTGGGACCCCAAGTGGAGGTCATCCTGGGATGCGACTGGGGACACAGACCCAGCGGAAAACAGCTCTCGCCAGGATCCCCTCTCTGGCCACCGTGCGCTCCCATCTGGTGAGGTCTGGAGCGACACCCGGCTGGCTTCCAGCAGCCAGCACTGAGGAAGCCGCGAGGCCATTGGCCACCTGTTGTGGGCGTGGGCGGCCCAGCTCCTGGCCGGGAGAGCGCGGTGTCCCCTGCCGGCCCCTCGCGCCCGCCCACCGGCGAGCAGAGGCAGGAGAGGGGCGGGAGGCTGGGTGCGGGCAGGCCGGGGAGGTGGGATCGAGTTTGCGGATTGGGGCTCACAGCTGTCACTCCGGAAGGGTGGGGCTTTTTTTTTTTTAAAGGCAAATTTGCAAGGCAAACCCCCAGCCCGCTCAGGGCACCTTCGCGGTCGCCGGCGCTCCGGATGCGTTGTTGGCTGCGCGGGGCCAGGCGCGCGCGAGCCAGCGGTTCCTCCCGGCGCAGCTGGGCCGCGGCTGCCCGCGCTCCGGGACCGAGCCGAGCCCGCGGGGCCGGACAAAGGGGCTTCTGCACCCCCAAACTTCGGACGCACAGCGCGCGCGAGCCCGGGGCGCGGCGGCCGCCTGGGATGGGGGCTGTCAGCTATGGAGCCCCGCATCACCCAGAGCGCCCGGGGACCCGCGCGCCACCGCCGCCGCCCTGCGCCCGCTAGCCGGTGAAGTCTCTGCCGGGGTCTCCGTCCCGGGCGCCGGGGCCACTGTTGGCCCGGATAACGGGAAGGGAAGAAGCCCCCGCGGGGTAAAGATTTTGGAGGACTCCGGTGGGCGGCGGAGGAAGGAGGCTAGGCTGGCGCGCGGGGGTCGCCTGTCCCGGCCATGGCCCGGCGCAGGGTGCGCGCGGGGCACCGGGGCGGCAGCCTGGGTTCCTAGGGCGCGCGCCCTCGCCCTGCCCATCGCGGCCTCCGGATCGGCGCGGCCCCTGCACCGCCCTCTCCACCTGCGCTGTGGGTCTCAGGATGTGCCCATCCGAGATGGGGACGCTGTGGCATCTGTGGTCTCCCGTGCTCATCGGCCTGGCCGCCCTGTTCTCCAAAGGTGAGGATCCACCGCCACCTCGGGCCAGGACTAACTTTGCGGGGAGGGAGCGGGTGTGCGTGGAGCGGGCTGCGCGAGAGCCGCGTGGGTGTGCGGTGCGCGTGCGGGCGGCGTGCGCGGGGCTGCAGCCTCTGGGCCGCAGGTGCCGGCGCGGGAGGAGCCAGGCAGGCTGGGAACCGCAGGGGAGCGGGCGGCGTCCGCGCTGGCGCCAGAGGGTGGGATAGGAGTCCTCGGCGGGCAGGGTGGCCGCAGCGGCGGAGCCCGAAGTCAGGGCTCGGATTAAAGCAGCCCGCAGATGCCTGGAATTCGCAATTGACTTCCCTGCCGCGGGACTGGGTTGGAAATAATTTCAGAGCAGTCCTGTTGCGTGGAATGGCCTTTTAGTGCATACGAAGGTGCTAAAAATACCGCGGGGGCCAGCAGTGTGGCAGCGAACTGGGCCCCTTTTGCAGGACCTCGCAGAGGTGGCAGCCCGGCTGGGGGCAGCGTCCCACGGGTTGGCCGGGTTGGGACTGCCACTGATGCCCTGGCTTGTCACTACCCGGCCTGACTCAAGCTGTGGTGGAGCCTGTGCCCACTGCCACCCCCTGGCAGGGACCAGAAGCCCCTGCAGAAATTCCTGGGAGGGAGGTTGATTCCCACAGCCACGGATCGGCTTCCTCGGGTCCAGGGCCCAGTTACCCCCGACAAGCAGCTTGGGAGGGAAGCTGGGCTCCTCCGCCGTCTCCAGGGTGTGCTGGGAAAACCCTTTCCACACATTTCTCTGTGAACATTTTCCTGCTGAGGTCTCGCCAGGAAACTTCGCAGCCAGGTCCTGCGTGCAGTCTGTAAAGGCTGCAGTGGGCTGCTCTCCGAGCTCTGTGCAGTGGCCGAGGTCTGGGCTCTGGTGAGGTGAGGATCTGGACCCTCGCTTGCTGGCTTTCCATGCTGGTGGCTTTAGCAAGGGGGTGTTGGGTTCTCCTGCTGTACCGTCTTTATGAGTGCAGTAGAAGCGGGCTCCTGGCTTCTGTGATGAGTTGGGGACACGCAGAGGACCCGAGCTTTGGGGACTTGGGATGCATAGAGCGAACACAGAGTGTCTGTGCGGCCTGTGCAGGCGGACACGAGGGTATAAGCCAGCCACACTGGGGCCAGTAGCGGCCGGCAGGCTCTGCTGTCAGGCACGGTCTCAGTGGCTGTCGCTGGGCTTTCTGGTGAGAACAGGCCGCTCTGTTCCCCGATGCCACCCCTCAGGGTCACTGAGGAAGGGAGAGGGCGGCTTTGTGAGCAAACAGGACCCGGCCACTGTGTTTGCTGGGTTGTGAGCTAGTTGCTGATCTGGTTTCTTCCTCGGACTGAGCAGAGCCGGAGAGAGAGACCTGCCTTTCCTGGGCCCCTCTGGGCTTCTCCAAAGGGAAACACAGAAACCGTCCTCTGCACACCCTCGAGGTGTGGGAGCCTCTTTTCTAAGGGGCCCTGTGGTCCCAGGATGTGTGTGGGCACTGACTTTGGAGAGTGCAGCCTGCGGCCAGCCTAGAAGCCAGCGGCCTGGAGTGGGCCTGCACAGACCGAGTCCCGGTGGGTGTGGGAGGGTTTGGGGATCGTCCAGAGCCGCTGCTTCAGAAGCAGCCAGTGGTATGGGATGTGGAAAGTGGGATTTCATGGTCCAGAAAGAACCCACAAACTGGGGAGATTCAGGGCTTTTCACAATGTTCCCAGAGTCCTTCCCCCAGAGACTGCGTGATGGCCTGAAGGTTCCAGCCTGTCTGAAATCAAAGATGAGCTGCTGGGCATGGTGGTGCATGCTGGTGATCCCAAGCCTCAAGAGGCCGAGGCAGGAGGATTGCTAGGAGTTTGAGGCCAGCCTCGACACATAATGAGTTCAAGGCCAGCCCAACTACCTAGTGAACCCCAGTCTCAAAAATATAAAACAAAACAGAACAAAATACAGATGGGCTGAATTGGAATGGATTTTAGGCGGGAGTAAACCTGCACACTGTAAAACACCTAATCTCCTTGCAGCTGAATGTAAAACGGAGAATATTACCGTGCATTAAAAAACTCTCTCGGAATGGTTTTATTGTACGGTCCAGAGCTTTCCAAATAGGAAGCCTGAGCAAAGCAGAATCCACGTTTTGATAGCAGACAGTGACCTTGGTCCTTCTCCCTGACTGAGCTCACGAGCTGGAAGTGACGAGCCACCGCGGCTCTCCCCGGCCTGTGACCTCTGTCTCCGGGGACCTGGGCTATGGGATGAAACGAAGGGGGCTGTGAGCACCCGGTCCCCCGACTCTGGATGAAGGCGTCAGGCGTGTGGGGCTTGCGTTCAGTTCTTGTCTTTGAGCAAACTCTATGTAGGTTGCAAGTGTGCCGCCCTGCAGGTGAGTTGATGCATTGCTGTGGGTGCTGTGGGCCGGGGATGGGGGCGGGAGCTAAGCAGCCAAGTCAGTGAGAGGCAGGTCCCGTGTCACCGCAAAGGTGGGAGCCAGAAGGGACCGCAGTTGCTCGTCCCCAGCCACGTGGCCTCACACTCCCCTGCTGCAACGGAGGCAGTGGGCATCCAGCAGGGGCCTCATCCTGGCCTGTGAGTGTCCACGTAGGGCCGTCCTCCTGGGCCAGGCATGGAGGTGCCACCTCCGGCTCAGGGACAGAGCGGGCTGGCCAGGCTTGAAGGCAGGGACAGAGCTCCAGTGTCTCCAGTGTCTCCAGGGATGGGTTTCAGGGCAGGATAACGGGTCAGGAGGAAGTCAGGGTGTGTGTGTGTATGTGTGTGTGTGTGTAGTGTGAGCACCTGTGTGCTCTATCCATCCATCGACGCAGCCACCCATCCACTCATCCATTCATCCACCCACCCAACCATTCATACACCCACTTATCCACCCATCCATCTATCTGCCCACTGACCTACTCATCCATCTACCCATCAATCCACTCATTCATCCATACACCCACTTATTCTGCCATCTATCTGCCCACCCTCCACTTACCCATCCTCCCACCCATCCACTTAACCATCCATCCATCCACTCATCCATTCACGCATCCACCCACCCGGCCATCCATCTACCCACTCATCTACCTACCCATCCACCCACCCATCCACTCTCCCATCCACCAACCCACCCACTCATCCACTCACCCATTCATCCATCCATCCACTCATACACCCACTTATCCAGCCCACCTATCTATCTGCCCGCCCATCCACCCACTCATCCACTCATCCACGCATCCATCCACCCACCCATCCACCCACCCTCCATCCACACATTCGTCCATCCACCCATCTGTCCATCTGTCCACTTTCCCTTCCATCACCTATCTACCCATCCATTCAACAAATACCAAAGACCCCATGTTCTCAGTGACCCAGATCCTCTGCAGGAAGTCTTTGCAGTATTGTGAGGATGGGTGAGATTCTCAAGGTCCCTGGACTGGGCATGGTCAGTGCACTTATGCTCTAGATTTTGAGGTGCCCTGTGCTTCACCTCACTGTCTTACATGATCCGTGCCAATTCCGATGGCTCCATGCCCAGCCGCCCCCTCCTCCTTTGCTCTTCTGACTCCTCCATCCCCTTTCTCTTCCTCCTGAGGGGCACACTGGCCCCTACACCGTGCTGGCCAGGAGGAGAGACAGAGACGCATGCACAGAGGGTGAGGACAGGAAGGGCCTTTCCTAGGAGTGGCCCAGGAGACAGAGCCCTCGTTCAGGCTGTGGGAGAGCCAGGTCACTCCTCGGAGAGACAGAGGGAAGTGTTGGGAGGTGACACATGCCGTGCTACAGGCTGGGGTGAGAGGGTCCTTGTGGCCTCCTCTGTCTTCCATGGCTGCCGGCTGTCCTTGGCTTGGGGCTGCTTTGTGCTGCTGCCCCCAGAGCTGGTGTCCTGGCCCTCTGTGCTCTGCCTGCCTGTGCCGCCTCTCCTCTGTGTGCAGCCCCCGCTTCCCTCTCATAGGGACAGGAGCCATTGCCTTCGGAGTCCCCCAAACATTCCAGGTGATGGCCTCCCCTCCTCCCTCACTGTCAGCTTCTCCCTCTTTGCACCAACACTTGCAGGTCCAGGACTCCCGTGCCAGTGTCTGTGGGAGCTGACACTGGGTGAGGCGTGGTCTGCACCTTCCGCGAGGGGCAGCATCCTGAAGCTCCGTTCCCTGCCTTCCCAGGAAGTGTATGTTTTCCTCTCTGCTGCTGATTTCTCCGCAGCACTTAGCAAAGCGTGCTGGACATTGCAGGGTTGAATAAGAACTCGCAGCGTCTGTGAGAGGCTGAGATGCTGCCTCCGAGTCCTTGCCTGCCTAAAGTGGCTTGTGGCCGTCTGTCCAGACTCACAGGGCCGTGGGAAACACCCTGGGCGGTAAGAACAGGGGCTAAGTTTCAAGTGACTCTTGTGTGGTGGCTACTTGCTGAGGGGTTCACAAAGAGGATTTTGTGAATTTGCAGATAAACCCATGAGGGTGGAGCCAGCTGTAGGATGAAGAGGGTGAGGTCTGAGTCTGGGTGTCTCAGCCTACGCTCTGGGCCAGGCCGTAGGCTTGGGTGACCTATTTGTGCACTCAGCTCGTGGCCTGCAGGGCAGAGGCAAAGGACCACATTATTCTTGTGGGGAAGGCGCTCAGTATCTGCTGGGCAGACGAATCAGTGCGGCTCCAGTTTAATCTCCTCAGCCTGGGTTTTGCCAGCCCAGTTCTCAGTGACCGGAGAGGGACCGAGATCGATTTTAACTCCAGGATGGTCAGGGAGGTTGAGGCTGGCCGGCGGGAATTTTCATTGTCTGGTCACAGTCATGGAGTCCCGGCACGACAAGGCCAAGAGATGACCGCTGGCCTTCTAGGAATAAGAGCGTAGACGGTTCCAGAGCAGCCTGGGAAATGGTGACCCCAGAGGGGGAAACATGTGGAACCAGGACCGATCGACATCACTCCTCCTGGGTGAGGACACGAGGGTTCTGTGAACATGTGGACAGCGAGCTGGGTCTCAGTGCCAGATGCCAGGCCGAGGGGGGGAGGTGGGAGAGGGGCATCGT